AATGGTTTAAGTGAAATTCATATTAATGATTTCAGTGATATGTTGAGTACATGATATTGCTGCTTTCGAATGTTTAAAGAGATTTAGAAATAATTTAAGTATGCAAGTCGACTCATCCGGTTCGCCGGTGAGGTATAAGTGGACCTGCAGGGATTAAGTGGACCTATCTGGGACGCCGATAGAGATTAAGTGGACCCATCAGGACGCTGATGGGGTATATAGGTGACCTACTTGAGACGCCAGTAGGGTATTTTGTGAAATCCTTTGAATTATGTACTGCCGTTAAAAGTGTTATAAGCATTTCAATTACTCGGATTATACTTAATTATGCATTTATTGAAAGTGAAACTGTTGATGCATTTCTGTTAATAGATCTCATTTTGGAAAATATTGATATCTTTCAACCATGATTATTTTTAGGATTATGATGATCACTTACTGAGTAGCCAAACTCATCAAACTATGGTAAACATTTTTCAGGATGACTGCGGTTTCATTTGTGTCCTCGTCAAGATCAACTTTGGGAAGATATTGTAGTTTTGCTTAAACTTTCTTTATTTACTTTGTAAGACCTCGCCACTGTAAATTTGTCCTATCAATAGATGTATATATGTTTTGACTGTCACATCTCAGGAATATCAATATTGTAAATTCTTCGGTGTGACAATGTATCATTGATTGGTCACAAAGTTTAAAAAAAAAAATTCCAAATGGCGTCACACTTTTTTATCTATTAGAATTCACATTTAATGACTAAAAATAAAAGTAATTATGGCATTCTTGTACTAAAAATAAATAACCTTATATTATAGGCTCTCAAAAAAAAAAAGTCGAAAGTATAGGATTTGGGGTTTGTGAGTGCATCGCTAAATGATGCAAATATACACCCCCATATGATGCAAAAATATCATCTCTCCGGACTTGAAATTTTTGTAATGGTGCATAATGGTTGGACATCTATTTTCATTCATAAGTATCAAATTTAAAGTTTCAAACATAGTGTATGAGTACTTAAAAATTGATGGTCTAGACATCTTAAGATCGAGATAAATTTCCATATAGGGCTTGAAATCTGTTTTATTATTATTATTATTATTTCGTTCCTTTTTTAACATCCATACACCTGAAAGTCGATATGATAATGTTATGACAACGAAGTAAATTTGGAATATTTTAAAGAAAATATAAATATTATTTTTTGAATTCTTTTTTTATTATTATCTATTTTAACTTTTAGTTAATTTAATATTTTTTTACATATATATTAAAGATGGATATTAGATAAACAAAGCATTGCATGGCAATACGTGAGATCAAAACCGTGTTGTTTACTTTTAATACAAGAAAGTAACAATCACTCTTGTCCATCATATTTCAAATTGGGTGGTCATGAGTATCTCATTACAAGACTCGAAGTTAAAGAAAAAAAAGCTTGAATTTTGGCATACCTCAAACTATCCAATTTGACATAAACAAAAGACGCTTTTATGCCATCGCCAATATTAAAAAAACCGGCCGTTTAGATCGAAACTGTTAGTGTTCCGATTATGGTAAGGGGCGGTTATAGGGTTATAATACATACACAAAACATCACAAAAAACATATTGCCCAAAAGCGGCTGAAATCTAGCCAAACCAGCCGGTATTGTGGCTAACAGGTCGGTTTTTTAGCTAACAGGACTGTTTTTTTTTAAACGGTATTTAACGTTATAACTCCCGTTGTAACGTCTGTTATATGTCACGATGCCGTTATTTTTAGCAAGGCTGCTATATTAGACAGAACACATGAATTTTGTTTTATTAAATATTTGATTCAATTTTTTATTGCTTTTTCAGCCTTTTTCATTATTTTTTTAGTCAATTATTGACTGAAATTATTGTTTTAACAGTAAAAAATGAAGTATTTGCAACATAAACCCATTGAAATTTTAAGTTTTTTGCCTTTTTTTTTGTGTTTTTCGCGTACTCAAAAAAATCCTCCAAATTTCATGTTGTGGCCTTGTTTTTGGATTATCATCAATGAAATTCGAGGGATTTTGTAGATAATAGATATAGTCAGTATATTATATTTCATTTAAAACGCTAGATTTGGGGCTCGATTTTGAGCGATTAAGGAATCCACTCGGTTTTGAAAAAATCCACCGTCCACTCGGTTTCGAAAAAATCCACCATCCACCCGATTGTTGTTTCGATTTTAGTTTTTTTTTTTCAATAAAATCTAGGGAGTTTGTAGATGATGGAGTTAGTCACAAGATTCAAGTCATATTTTCATTAAAAATCCGAGATTATGTGACCAGGGCATCGACTCGGTTTTTTAGAACTGAGTTTGAAAAAATCCACCATACTATTGATTCAATTTTGTTTTTTTTCAACAACAATATAGGGCTTTTGTAGATCATGGAGTTAGTCACAACATTAAAGTCCTATTTTGATCGAAAATCTAAGATTTGGCGATTGATTTGGATGGATTAGAGCATCTACGCAGTTTTTCGAACTGAGCTGAAAATCAACCGCGAATCGCTAGATTTTATGCTGGATTTTTACTGCTGAGAACACGTGTATAGATTTCATGTGACTTTTTATTTAATATTTGTTTGATATGATTTTTTAGTTGTTTTAAGTATTTGTTTACCACTTTATTTTGCTAAAAAAAAAATTATTTTGCTCAAACATTGTTCAGTTACCACAATAGAAAAATCACTCAGTTACTTGAATTTGGAACTGGTGGCTTTTTATTGTACTTCGTATAATTTTTTGAAAAATTTAACACTAAACATCAGTGTGAACACACTCAGTATTTGATATTTTACTCGAAAAAGATTTTTTGCTTTATTGTTCTTTGTTAACTTGGGGTTCTAAGTTATAAGAGACTTGACATCTGCAATGATACACAAAAATATATAAAACATAGGTGAACGTTTGGTAGACACTGTGATATTTATGTCCTCCATGGAGAATGAATAATTGAAGTCTTGAACTCATGTTCTACGTCATTATACATATATTTTAAAATTAGGAATGGGAAAGTATATGTTGTTTATGGTCCTCGTATGTTCATCGAATCGAATTAAGACGGCTAATGGGATAGTATTTGTTTATTTTTATTTTTTTTAAGATAGATATAGGTAATAAGATAATATAAACGTTTATTTATTAATTTTATTTTTTTTTGAGATTTTTTTTACCCATTTTTTTATAAAAAATATACCGTTGTGTTAACTGACCGGTTAGTCTAACTCTGGTTCTGACCGCTTGAGGACCATGTCCGGTTCGTTTTGGGAACGCTCGCCACCACTTGCCGAAATTCCTCTCCATAACTTCACACGCTCTCAGACGAATCAACCGACATTTTCACGAACTGGCGGCAACTTAATTTGAGAATTCCCCTCTCTCTCTCTCTAGAAGAACGCGGCGCTTTTCTGTCGAGCAGTTCCTTAGGGATAACTGAGGGAGGGATCGGCACACAGTAGAGAGAGAAAGAGAGGGAGAATGGTGACGCTTGTGGTGGCGACGACTCGGGATCCAGCTTCCGTTGGTCCTGCCTCGGCTCTCTTAGCAATGCCCGACTGGCGCCCGGGTCCTTTCTTGCAGGTTATTTGCCACTACTCACTCTCTCTCCTCATATTCCAGACCCTGTTATCTCTCTAGCTCCATTTCTCCCCATAATTCGCTCTCTCTCTCAAATTTCCATTTATTTTCAATTTGTTTGAGCGAATTATCGATCGCTTTCTGGTTGTTAATTCGCACTTCGTTGGAATTATCTCACTCTCGTTATTTTATCTTTGTTCACACTTGATGCATCCTTAAATCTAGAACCAAATTAAGTCAAGGAAGTATCTAAGTTATTGGTTAAAAAAGTATTTAGAAACCTTCTCTATAAATTTCTTGATAAAATCTTTAGAAACATCTTCGCCTACAAATATTTAAAGGGTCCATTTTCGACAACCGAGAATCGAGAGTCGCCAATAGTGAGTGATCCCTCTCCGTGGTAAGTGATTCCCACTTGAAGTCGAGTGATTCCCTCTAAAAAAACAAAACAGTTGTATCATGTTTGTATTGGAATAAAAGAGTGAGTTTCATTTTATTGTGCCCTTTTTCTCAGCCTTAGAGTACATTATTTGGTATCAGAGCCAACGACCCTATGGCTGGTTGAGCAAGACGTGGTCAAGCGGCTACCAATACCCCTACCATGGCTGTGTTTGCTGAGCTAAAATCATTAGTTGAGAACTTAGTTCATGAAGTACGAAGAAGTGGGAGGAGTTTCAACACTTCTAGTGAAGAAAATTCTAGTTTTGCCGATGAAAATCCATTTGTACAAACAGTTGATGGATGACAAGAATCAGCCCTAGAGAGGTTGGGCAAAGCTATGCAGCCCTAGAGAGGTTGGGCAAAGCTATGGAAGGAGGCGATAGAAACATTCGAGTTGATATTGAAGATTTCTCAGGTAAACTCGATCCCAACTATTTCGTTGATTGGATAACAAGTATTGAAACTTTCTTTGAATGGCGGGATCTACCAGAACCTAAAAAGGTGACGTTTGTTGCCACTAAGCTTAAGGGTCATGCTTTAATTTGGTGACAAACTTCACAAAATGAACGAGTTCGGCGTGGAAAAGAAAAAATACAAACATGGTAAAAAATGAAGGAGAAACTAACTGCCTTGTTTCTTCCTTCTGATTACAATCAATCTGTGTATAAAATATTTCACCATCTAAAACAAAAGGTAGACCAAAGTGTGCAATAATACACTAAGGAATTCTACCAACTCTAAAGTCGAGCTCAGGTTTCAAAAAGTGAAGAACAATTAGTAGCTAGATGTGTTAGTGGTTTAAAACCTATGCTACAACATGAGCTTGCATCACTACACCTATGGGAGATGAATGAAGCTTGCCAAATGGCCTTAAAGGCTGAACAAAAGTTCAAAAGGTTTTCTTATCGATTAGAGCGAGGGAACCCATCAAAGGCTTCAAAGGGTAAAATTGTCATAGGTATGCCACGAAACACTAGCCTCCAAAACCCTCAAGTAGAGAACAAGGATAATGCAAATACCTCAAAGGCTACTACCGCTAGAAATCCTTCAAACACTTGTTTTAGCTGTGGAGAAATGGGCCATAGAACTTTTGAATGTCCAAAGAAGAAACTACATCTTCTAGACCCTATGGGAGAAGAATAAGTAGTTGATGTACTAGAACTTGATGGCAACAAGGATGACGATTCTTCCCCTCGGAGTGAGCTCCATGCCGATGAAGGAGAGAGTTTGGTGATTAGTCGTGTTCTAACAGCCCCTAAAAGCGAATCCGCTGAAGACCGGTTAAGAACAAACATCTTCCGAACCAAATGTACTGCTTATGGCAAGGTATGTACCCTAATCATTGCCTCTGGGTCTTGTGAAAATATGGTCTAGAAAAAATTAAAACTTAAGACTGAAAAGCACCCACATCCTTATAAAATTGGGTGGTTTAAAAGGGGAAGTGAAGTTCAAGTTAATAAAAGGTGCTTGGTTAAATTCAACATAGGGAAGCAATACCAGGATGAAATCTGGTGCGATGTTCTTCCTATGGATGCATGCCACCTCATTCTAGGAAGGCCATGGCAATGTGACCGTGGTGCGGTACATGATGGCCGACACAACACTTACTCATTCGTTAAAGATGGAGTCAAGGTATGTCTTTGGCCCTTACAAGATTCTCCTACCCCTCAAACTCTCAAAGACAAAAATGTCAACTTGTTATCTTTTAAGGCTTTTATGAAAACAAAAGACGAAGATTTAATTTAGGGGTTAGTAGCCAAAGAACAAAGAGGAGAGGAGTACAGTGTAACTGAAGGTGTTAAAGACATGATGAATTTGCTGATGTGACCCCTGTTGAGTTACCAAAGGGTTTACCTCCAATGAGCGATATCCAGCATCAGATTGACTCAGTGCCAGGTGCAAGCCTCCCTAACGTACCCCATTGCTGAATGAGTCCTATGGAGCATCAAGAGCTCCAGAAGCAGGTTGATGAGCTCCTTAGCAAGGGATTTATCCAAGAAAGTATAAGCCCTGCAGCTGTTCCTACCCTGGTTACACCAAAGAAAGATGGGTCTTGGAGAATGTGTATACACAGCCGAGCCGTCAACAAGATCACCATCAAATATCGGTTTCCAATTCCACGGCTTGATGATATGCTCGATGAGCTAGCCGGTTCAAATTTTTTCTCAAAAATCGATCTGCGTAGTGGATATCATCAAATTCAGATCCGCTCAGGAGATGAGTGGAAGACGGCCTTCAAAACAAAAGATGGACTCTATGAGTGGTTGGTAATGCCATTCGGGTTGTCAAATGCTCCCAGCACATTTATGAGGCTAATGGTACAGGTCATGCGCCCCTTTATGGGAAAATTTGTGGTTGCATATTTTGATGGCATCTTGATCTATAGCAAGAATGAAGAATCCCATAAGGAGCACCTAAGAAAGGTCTTTCAAGCCTTACGAGGAGCCAAATTATATGTCAATTTGAAGAGTGCTCTTTTGTGACAGATCGTGTAGTCTTCGTAGGCTATATAGTACCTACTTAAGGGATTCATGTAGATCCAGATAAAGTTAAAGCCATTGTGGAGTGGCCCACGCCAAAATCTCTATAAGAAGTACGAAGTTTCCACGGGCTAGCCACCTTCGATAGCCGGTTTGCCAATAATTTTAGTTCTATTAATGCACTAGTCACTGATTGCTTGAAGCAAGGAGAGTTTCAGTGGACTCACGCTACTGAAGAAAGTTTTAAACTCGTAAAAAAGAAAATGACTGAAGCCCCAGTACTAGCTCTACTTGACTTTTCGATGGTTTTCGAGGTGGAATGTGACGCTTCACACAATGGCATCGGCGCAGTCCTCAGCCAAGAAAGGCAACCTGTATCCTTCTTCAGTGAAAAACTTAACGCAACCAAGGTACGATACTCAACTTATGATATTGAATTTTAGGCAATTGTTCAAGCACTTCGTTATTGGAGGCATTATCTGATTCAAAAGGAATTTATCTTATACTCGGATCACAATGCCTTACATTATTTAAATTCACAAAAGAAGTTGTATTCAGGACATGCAAAATGGACATCTTATCTTCAAGAGTTTACCTTCACTATCTGCCATAAGTTGGGAACTATGAACAAGGTCACTGATACACTTAGTTGAAGGCCTATCTTCTTGAAACTCTCACATATGAGGTAGTTGGATTCAAGATTTACCTGAAAACTATGAAAATGACCCCTATTTTCAAGAAATCCTAAAGAAATGCTAGACTCAAGGGGCCTATTTGGATTTCATCCTCCATGAAGGCTTTTTATTCAAAGGAAATCGTCTTTGTATACCTGAGTGTTCCCTTAAACTTGAACTCATTTCTGAGCTACACGGAGGTGGCCTAGGGGGACATTTTGGTCAAAACAAGGCCCAAGCTCTTGTAGAAGAAAGGTACTTTTGGCCTAAATTAAAAAGGGATGTTGGAAGATTTTTTGAAAGATGTGGAATCTGTCAGTGTGCAAAAGGATGCATACAAAATACTGGTTTATGCACCCCAGTACCCATCCCTATAGAACCTTGGGTGGATGTTGGCCTAGACTTCGTGGTGGGACTTCCGAGAACAAGGCAACGTTTGGATTCTATATTAGTTGTTGTTGATCGATTTTCAAAAATGGCCCACTTCATACCCTTCAAAAATATGACAGATGCTACTCAGACTGCCATCCTATTCTTTCGAGAGGTTGTGAAACTTCATGGGGTGCCCAAAACTATAACTTCAGATCGGGACACAAGGTTTATTAGCCACTTTTGGAGAACATTATGGCAACTCATGGGCACTCAATTACAATTCAGAAGCAACTATCACCCACAAACTGATGGATAGACAGAGGTCGTCAATAGAACTTTAGGAAATCTCCTTCGAAGCCCGACAGGAGATTGGCTAGGGTCATGGGATTCTGTGCTTGCACAAGCTGAGTTCGCCTATAAAAGTTCAAAGAACCGTTCAATAGGCAAAACACCATTTGAAATTGTGTATGGGCGAACGCCATTGCACATTTTGGATGTGACATCGATATCAAACCTGGACGTTTTAGTGCAAATACTGCTGATCAGACTGATCATTTGAAAGAAGTCCATGACAATGTTCACCGAAAGTTAGCCAAGGCATATGAGCAATATAAGGCTGCTGCTGACAAAAGTCATCGTGCAATGGGGTTTAATGAAGGAGATTTGGTTATGATGTACCTCCGTCGTGAAAGGTTCCCAGTGAGAAAATATCACAAACTCAAACACCGGAAGATAGGACCATGTCGAATCCTGAAGCGCATTGGGACAATTGCCTATCGCCTCAAGTTACCTAAAGGAATAGGGATCAGCCCAGTTTTCAACATTTTTTATTTATTCAAATATCATTTAGAAGCTGATACTATTGATTGGGACGAGGTCCGAGACAATTACCTGTGCAAGAGAATTAGTGCATTCTTGACATCATTGATACCTGGAATATAATGACCAGTCAAGGACAACTCACTCAATACCTAGTGCGGTGGAAAGACAAACCTGAATCTGAAGATGCTTGGCTAACAGATGAGCAATTAAAAGAGACTAATTTGGAAATATGGAGGTCAATGGTTGATAACTCGAGGACGAGTTCTTTTGAAGCGGGGGTGACTGATGCATCCCTAAATCTAGAAAGGTTCTTGAAGGTTCCACAAAAACCTAGAACCAAATTAAGTCATTATCTCTAGAAATATCTAGCAATAAATTATTGTTTAAGGAAGTATCTAGGAACCTTTTCTAGAAACTTCTCTAGAAATATTAGCACTAAACTATTGTTTAAGGAAGTATCTAGGAATCTTCTCTATAAATTTCTTGATAAATCTCTAGAAACATCTTCTTTAGCCTATAAATACCCTCAAAGGGGTCCATTTCCAACAAGCAAGAATTGAGAGTTGCCTTTGAGCTTTTGTTGAGAGTGAGTGATTCCTCTCCAAGTGGTTAGTGATTCCTAGGTGAGGTTGAGTGATTCCCTCTTATTCATTTCCTCCTTATCAAAAAACAGTTGTATCTTGTTTTGTATTGGAATAAAAGAGTGAGTTTCATTTTATTGTGCCCTATTTCGCAATCCTATTGCCTTAGAATACATGAACACTTTGGCACAATTCTCTCTTTTCTCTGTGCTTTGTTGTATGTTTTTATTATTTTCTCGTAGTCAGCACTTCACCATAACTCTCCCTCTCTGGTTTGAAAGAACTGATATGAATTCACTTTTTTTAATTCATTATCTGATTTTTCTCTTCATCTTATTCATGTTTATCAAAAAAGGTTTAATGTGAATAAGCGTATAACCTAAAAGAGCCCATATATCTTGCCCTAATTCAACTCAATTTCAATGAGAAATGCATAACTATAGTTGGAAGGAAATGGCTTTCTTTATGAATCAGGAACGGAGATGGCTGGCTTTCCATTAGCTTCAAAACTCAAATCCCATATATTTGGAATCCCCCTTTAGAAATTTCTAACTCATGCGGTCCTTGAACTATTCTTTCACCATCTCAATTGATAGCAAATGCATTACAAATTGCTTTTCTTCTTGTGGGTGAGTTTATTAATGTGTTTTTCTTCAATGACAATTTTATTGTACAATGCTGTTTACAAATTGGAAGAATACAATGATCTTAGTCGTCTAATGACGACATATAAGATCAAAAGTTCACATGATTGGGTGGTTTAATAAAATCTTAGAATGTTTTGTTATTGTTGGCATAATAATTCCTTTTTACTTCTGTATTTTTTTGAGAATGCAGAGCCATTTGGTCTTTGGAAAACCAATTGCACATGATCTATAAAAAGGGAAAGAGAAAAACGAATTGCACATATTGGGTGCAGCGCAACGAACATACAAATATTAACTCGTTTTATATATGATATTTTTAGTAGCTCTATGCATGTACTTAAATATCTATTTTCTGATCTCGCATTTATGTTTCGTATCAATAGCTGAAGATCTTAGCTTGGAGAAGTTGTTCATTGCTAAAGTAGTCCCAAACTACCTAATGTTGTTAACCTTGAAACTTTATGTTTGGACAGGATATTCCAAGTTTTGTTAATGGTAATGTGAGACTAGTGAAACATGATGACAGTATTGTGGCTGAAGACAACCTCGATAAGCGTTGGGAGAACATCACTGGAGAGGTTGTCGATGAAGTCATATTTCTTAGCCGCCATACTGCAGTTTCCAACCGACCTGCACTTACAGTTCACCCAATAGGTAAGCATTTACAATGTTTTTGCGTGATCATTAAGGTGCAAGACTCACTGTCGACATATATTATTATAGATTTTCAACATGCAGTGGTTTTGTAGGAGTGGCTTATCTTTTAATGGGATTTATTATTTAATAAAGATGTGGTAATTTGTGATTATTATATGTTTTTGAGGATGAGTGTAATTACTGATGTGATCACTGATAATGGGATTCGTAAAGTCATGTTGATACTTTGGTCACAACTCCTGGGAAATGATTGAGAGATGTTGAATCTTATGCAAGTACATTAAGTGATGGGTCATAACAGGTGTAAGGTGTCAACTAGGAAAGAGGCCTTGCTTCACTTAGAAATATAAGTTACCTAATTAGGTGTCTGGAACTCTTGGTGGGATTACTCGTTAATTATATAAATACACGATATTCAACTTTAGTCACCCAGAAAACACTAGAACAAAACTCAATATCGTGATTGTGTGTATTTCTTTTTTTAGTTAATTATTATAAATATATTTCTTCAGGGATCAGATAATATTCTTGACTTGCTATATGCTCCATATATATGTTTGTGAAGGAGTAAAGATTACATGCATAAACTAATTTTTAGATATTCACCATATTTATCCCAAGAGTGATATGCAAGAGAATGCATAGACATTAGAGCCTGGGTGTACCTGTTTTTTTTTTTTTCCCCACTTTCCAGAACAGCCAAGTTGGGAGCTAGGATGTGAATTCACCTACAGGCCAGCCTAGGCCCTTGCCTGTGCTTAAACTAGATAGTTTCTAGATTTGTGACTGTTAACACTTAGTAAAGTGCAGATAGGTTCTAGATTTGTGATTGTTAACACTTAGTAAAGTGTACTACAAAGTTCTACCAATCACTTGGTCTGGTCTTGAGTTGAGTTCACCCAACAAGTATCAAGGTTGAAATGTGGAAACATTCTTTTTGATTTAGACTCTGTTAAGGTTTCCTGTGTTCACCTTGTTTGGTTCCACTCATTTTACTCTAGCTTTTGATTGGGAGCTGGTTTTCCTGATGAAATTGTAATTAATGCTCTCTGTTTTTTTAGGCGGAGTAGCATCAAAGCCTAGAGTTATGTGGCTTTGTCTTTTGGTACTTAAATTTATTTCTTGATGCCCACCACGTCAGTTGCTTAAACATTCTATTATTTACTCCAAACATTTACTGTAATTAATATTCCATCTTTTTACTTTTGATATCATTAAGGTGCACCCCATTTGCGAGAAAATGAGATCCCACCTGCCGGTGGAAAGCCTGGATGGGCAGCCCCTCCTAATCCTCGAATAGGACCGTGGTTAAGGCTTCTAAAATCGGTTGCTGAGAGTCATGACCTCACTCCTGAGTTTGAGGTATGATTTCCTCTTCCTTGTTTTTATGTTTTATGAGTTCTAACAAATTGACTTTTCAGTTCATATGTGGCTAATGGTTTTTAAAATTTCTGTGAGTTAATGCTCTATAAATTCCTATATCTGGTTAAAACGACTAACATATGTGGCTAATAGTTTTTAAAATTTCTGTGAATTAATGCTCTATAAATTCCTATATCTGGTTAAAACAATTAACTTCTTAGAGAAAGGAACCTGGTTTTTCATGGAAACTATTCTAGATACAAACTATTGTATGCTTGAATGCGGTGTATCTTCCAGTCAATTTAGCCCATAGTGATTTTGAGGAAGTTGGGCTCGCTTTGCGAGATTCCTGGATATTTTTGGATATGAAATTGATGTTATTTATCGATGGTTGATCACGAAATGAATTGAGACCACAATCCTGTTTCCATGTATATAATTATTAACCAACCTGTTAAGATCAACCAAAGGAATGTACATTAACTCAGGAGTCCCCAAGCGTCCCCTTGCTCGATTACCCCAAAATCTCAAAGGCTATTTCTGACAGGGGCCTCAGACCATATGGAGCAGTAGTTCAGGTGTCATAGGTTGTCCTATAGTCCTTTCTAGTGACTCATTGATACTTTCTTTTTTATTTGTATTTATCTACCAAAAAGAGAAACTACAAGTAGTTCTAATTTTAAGTAATTTTGGCTAGTTTGAACTATCAACATTCATTACAATTCACAAGGAAAGAGGTAGGTTGAGCCTTATGTGCTGATTTGTAAACAGTGATTCTGCCTCATGCATAGCTTGCAGTCATAAGGGTGTGATGCTAAAATTTCCTAAAAGAAACTAAACTTCAATTTATTTTTTTAGTTTACATGTTGTGCATTGGGCATCACCCTTTGAATGATAAATGCTTTTCATGCTTGAGAGGTAGTGAAAGCAAAGATGACTTATGATATATAGGGATGTCTGAAACCACTCATCTTATTTGCATGGATGTTAGCAAAACATCCTCGAAATAGCTTGAAAAAAGAAATACCTCATAATTATTAGCAAATGTGACATGTATCACATGTCTGTGTGCAATTTCAATTGCTCCTTGCTCATTTGTCTTCCCTATGAAACCATTGCTTTGGAGTATTACTTTTGCAGTAGGCAAATCTAGTGTTTTGGCATCACCTTCTGTCAGAAGATATTATATATTGGAAGACACTACGCAACGCCTATGGGCAAAAATGATTAGTATTTTCGCCCATAGGCTCATCACCGTCTGAAAAAATCGGGCGACATGCATTTTTCAACTGCCATGGACCTAGCATGTCTGGGGCGGTACCATCACGAACATACTAGGTCCGTGATGGTCAAAAAATCACGCAGAACCACAACGGACGACGCGTCCATTCAATAAACCTCGACGAACATAGCAAGTCTGTGGCGGTGGCGAAACACTGTAGCACTTTGCCTATAGGTATTTTTAAAATTTTTCCTTTTATATATATATATATATAATGTTAGGGTACTCCTACATATGGAGTATTTTTTCAATGTACTCAACATTTTTGGACACTTGATACCCTTACCCTACATGTAGCAACTTTTTTTGCCTAGGGTTATTTTAGTTAATTAATTAAGGGTAAAGCGGAAATCTCGATAGAAAGAAAAATATTTATTAACAATAGTAGAGAATGATATCATCCACATGAGGTGTGACACCAACCACATGGACCATTAATTGTTTTTTAACCACAAATAGAATGCCACTAGTTTCTTATAGAAATAGCTATTTTGTCCCTCCTAATGACCAAAAATGTCATTGCTCGAAAAAAGTTATATTACAAAGTAAGGGTAATAAATGTCCAAAAATGTTGAGTATATTAAAAAAAGTTGTGGTTTTTATAAGGTTGCAACCTTAAACAGTCCAATTAAGGCGCACTTCTAAATTTTATCATAAATACAATTTCGATATAAGAAACTATTAGGACGGCTTGAGAATCTATTTTCATCTCTAATTATAACATTTACAACTCTAAAAATGGTTCAAATCAAGTAGATCTATAAACACATGAAAATCTTGAAAATGGACGGTTCAGATAATGTGTTGCAAGATACACTATTTCGCAGACTCAATTTCTTTTTTTTCATATTCATATATCTCGATGTCAAGATGATCAATTAGAGGGTTTTCCAAAATCCAAACATAATTTTATGATGGATTTTTGAGGAGCACTTTTATTTCTACATTTTAAGGTTGCAACCTTATATTAAGTTTTTCCATCAAAAAAAAATTCCATGTATAGAAGTACCCTAAGATTTTAAGGTTGCAACCTTATATAAACCCTATAGATATATATATATATATATATAGGGTTATGTTAGGATGCTCACACTATGGAGTAAGTTATTATTGTCCTCAATAAATTTTGGACACTTCTATGCCCTTGTTTTGTACATGGAGTATTTTTAGTGCTCCATGTAGGTGTTGTCACACCCCATATAGATGACATCACACCTTCCAAATGACCAAAAATACTCTTACTAAAAAAAACTCCATGTACAAAAGAAGGATATATAAGTGTCCAAATTTTGTTGAGTACAATGATAAATTACTTCATAATGTGAGTACCCTAACATAAATCATACATATATATATATATGGAAAAAGATGGGATTAGCCCACTAGCTCATGTGAACATATGAGCCCAATAGCCCAGATTGAATCTAGACGGATCTGACGATCATAGATGTCCAGTAGTACTTGAATTTTATTTTATTTTTTCTACCAATCCAAACCAATTGAAATTTTAAGTGTGTGTTCTTCTCATCAAGGCGCACCTAATAAAAATATAAAAAAAATTATTCGCAAAAAACAAAATGACCAAACTACCCCAAAAAAATTTTCGGGGGTATTTTGGTCAATTTATTTTATGTAAAATATTTTTTTGATATTTTTCGAAGATTCAATTATTTCTTATGAATACACGCCTAAAATTTCAAGCGATTTGGATTTGTAGAAAAAAAAACTAAAATTCAAACACTACCGTGCATCTGTGATCGTCAGATTGGTCCAGAAGACATTGGGCTTTTATGTTCATATGAGCTAGTGGGGTAATCCCATCTTTTCCCTATATATATATATATATATATATATATATATATATAA